TGGCTCTATGCACTTCACATGAAAAACAGAAAAATAAACATGAAATATTGTAATACTACAAAGAAGACCCCTAACCAGGTGGTTTACTTCATATCTGCCAAACCTCCTTTTCAAGTGAACACTTTTGATAAACCAAATGAACACATTCCCCTTGCATAAAAAAAACTAATGATGAAACTTACCTCTTACATGCTAGAATTCTTCAGCTCCAGTAGGCCACAGTCCCTACAACAGCTCTTCTCATAGATCTTACCAGGGCATGTTGGGTGTCTCTTATCTGACTCTCATCAGAAACCTCCCTTAGAGAGGCCTGGTTACAGCTTTGTGTTCCGATTCAGTATTTTGACTACTGTATTATTTAATGGTAAATTATTCCTTCAACATCAAATACAAAAAGATTTTTTTTGTTTATAACATTCATTGTTTGAGAATCCTTATCAAATATTTGAATAGACATAATTCTACCTCTTTTAAATATATTGTAACCGTTAGTATTTAGATATACAAAAAATAAAGACCTATAAAGTCTCTATGAAAATTCATCTTATAAGGCTAATTTTTATTCTTTGAATTACAGTATGAAGTAATTGAAAACCACAGAAATGACTAATCGTACTGTAGCTCTAGTATTGATTGTAATTTGTAGTAAATTGATGTTAAAGAAAATATACAAAATTGATTTTTCTTACCATATTGTTAACATGTTGGAGTATGATTTTGTTAAATATTTTATAATTCATATATGCATCGTTGCCAATTTATTACATTTTATAATTTAGCAGGTTTCTTATAGTTGAAATATATTATGTATTATGAATAATAGAAATATGGCGCTCAATTAAATTATATTGAAACATAAGCTTTCATGCAATATATTAGTGAAATGGTTTTGTACATTATGTAAACATATCACACAATTATCATTTTGCATTAATGTGCAAAAGAAAGGTTTTCTTTGTTTATGATTCCTTCACTAATATTGAGCTTTCGAATGCAATGAAAATGTGAAATACACAGTGTTACTGTAGCTCCCCAGGTAAATTTAAGCATCATAGTGTCGTAACACTAGTACAGTTGGTGATGTGCTTAACATGTTGGTGGTGACCCTTGATATTTTGTCATTATTGTTTGCAAATAGCTATGCCTGGCCTATGTAATAAGCCTAAACACCAACAGATTTCATATGGTCGGTGTGAAATTCAACAAAATGTTATAGACTTCTATATGAACATCAACATAACGACCACCATAGAAATTAGTTTTATGAATTTTTCATTGATTCATGTCATTCTTTATATTTGTACTCATTAAGAAAAATAGAAGTTAACAGAAATAGAAACATTAAACCAGATATGATAGATAAACCCAAATTGCCATCTAGTATGTAGGCTTATTTCTGTTAAGCTATAAAAACATATAACCTGTTTACAAAATAATCATGAAAGTGTGTGATTATTAAGAATTTTATTTTTATGAGAGCAAATAGATATTTATAAACATTGAACTTGGCCAAAGAAAGATCTCTCATAGCAGTGACTCATTAATTAAAATAATAGAAATTGCAAATTGCAAGTGAAGTGCTGCGAAGTACAACTGCATATAAATGTTTTTCGAACAAAATTATTTATGCGAGTCAAGTGAAAATAATGAATAATAAAACTATAACAAATAATATGAGACACGTCCCGTATTAGAACACTTCTCATTGGGTAACAAAGTCGCAATTTTTCATTTTTGTCAAAAAGTGTCTATAGTGTGGTGAATTATGGTTTAGTTTTTTTTTTAATAAAGTTTCAAAAATTTCTATGTATGTGGAAAATGTAGTTGATTACCAAAGGTTAAGTGTACATTTTTTTATGGGGCAAGTTTCCAAGGGCGGGTTTTCTAGGGACGAGTTGACTGCCAAAGAGTGTTGCCAAAGTGCGAGCCAGTGATCACAAGTGCGAGACATATCACAAGTGTGAGCCAGCGAGCAAATGACGTCACGACAATAGATAGACGTTAGCCAGTTGTGTGAGGTATCGGCTGAGATTTGTGGAGTACAATTCAAAAAACAACTATAGGTCTAATAATGAATTATTGTGATGTTAAATAGACAATGTTAGCTATCAAAGGGCGACGTTGTTTTTCATTGGGACCTTCGTCCCTTCAAGGCTAGGCCTATACCATCCTAGCTAGTCTAGGCCTAGAGTAGGATAAGGCTAGCGCGACATGCGGACGTTGGTACGAGTAGGT